ACTCTTTCCAACCATCCACATCTTCCAAATGTCTCTCTTTTATGGCTGCATCTACAAGTACACTTTTGAGGAGGAATGCTAGCACAGCCGTATTTTGGTAACAGGGCAGCTCTAAAGATACCAGCATGGGTGGGACCTTTAATATAAGGAAGGTGTCAACCTTTTACCACTACATTCACTAATTTTTTTCTGAGTAGATCTAAATCAGCACTTCGTAGATGCTACTACCACGAAGTTCACTTGTGGCAATTATTATTATTCAGTCTGTCAAAACATCATGATTTCACTGTGATGAAAGTATTGTGAGCACCAGTATTTCTGTGTGCTCCACCACAGCTGTGGAGACTTGCCAAAACAATGTAAAGAAGGTGGAGTTAACAGGACTGCTTTTCTACCTCTGTCTCTTACTTAGACCTATCATTTTTACTCAGTCATCTCTTTAAACGTACTGAAGAGATGTACTGGGGAAAATTAATTAAGTGTACTTTTTTTTTCATACAGGTGTTCAGTGGCAGACTATGTTGTTACTAGGTTGCTGGGTTACTAATGTTGCTGGGTTTTGATTCTTTGGGTGTTTATGAAGATGTAAAGAAATATGTTTTCCATTTCCAGATAATCTTTGACTTCTCTTTTGTCTTGTTAAAAGCCCAGAACTCTCCTGAATTATGAATTTCAAGCAAATTAATGACAGTCATTCTTTCACTGCTGCACTGACTGCACAGTGCCCCTCACTTATACCCAGATGCTTACACAAGATTAAGTCATCACATAGAAGACACAGTTCAAATTACTCATTGAATTGGCCATTTGCACACAGTAAATTAAGCAAAAGACCAAACTCTGGCAAAGTGCATTGAACCATATTGAAGAAAGATTCCTATTTATAAAGAGATTCCCATTGGAATGGACTCCTAGGGCCCAAAAGGAAAATCTCAGCTTGATATATACATCTATCTAAATCTGAATCATAATAAATTTTAGTTCAAGTGGCCATGACTGGTGAATGTTGCATTTGTTTGCAAGCTCGCTAGACCGTGTGTGACCTGATTCCTTATCTTTGGGCTTCTAGAAACAAGTGAGTGAATGGGACACTTAGGTTGTTTTCTACACACATAGTTAATGTAATGATGATGGGTAAATTCACCTATATTTGGATGCTATTTAGGAAATGTTGGTAATTGAAGTAACAATGGTGTAATGGAAATTCTACAGCAGGCACGGTGATGGGGAGTGTAAGTTTAACCACTGGGGGTGCCCAGGCTTAGCCGTGAGCAGCTAGGAGGTTTTAGACAGGACTTGCCTTGCCTACTCTGGGGCAATCCACATTTATAACTGTAAAAGGTATTGGCCTCGGCAGTGTTGTCTTATACTTGTAAATGCTGCTTCAGTCTCAGCAATACTGAATAGGGATTCTCTCAGGAAAGAAAGAAGTTTGTCTACAACTACTTCACAAGATCTCAATGTGAAATTTGAGATTTTGACTTTTTTTCCTGAATTTGGAAAAAATAGTAAGTGTTAAATTTTGGGGAGCAAATAATAGTCTATTGGATTATATTTTTGGATACAAGGAATTGGTTTCAATTGGAAGAAAGTTTAACCAGAAAAATCCCTACCAGCTTTATCACTGACCCCTAGTGCCAAGTTAAATCCTTTATGCTTATAAACCAGATATTCTGTGATTGGTATTTGCAAATAGCTGGCCTTACTGAATGAGGACAACTTTAACCTGAAAGCTGTGGCTGTGCTGATACATTACTTTTGGCAACCTGACACTGGTACATTGTCTAGCACGGTATTCCATATAACCAGCTGCACTGTGCCACTGCCAATTTATGTATTTATTTTTAAAAGACAGAGAATATGAACATCACAAAGAGTCAAAAAATTGTTTGTGCCACAGTTTCTAACATGAATAGTCAGACCTGATTAGCAATGGTGATATTGTAAAAAACCTGCAATATTCACAACCTATCTTATTTTCTGCTGAAGCAAGGAAATGTGATGCCAGGCTGCTTCCTGATGTCCCAAGACTTTGAGGAGTCGTTCTGGATGTAGTGTTAGTGGTTTGCTCTCTATCTTCCTACCGCCAGCTCAAAAGGAAGAGTTTGAAAAGGCGTGCTGGAGCTCACCACCCAAAAGCTAGATGTCTGCTGGGCAGAAAATGATACATACAGAAAAAAAGAAAAACAAAAAAGGTCTTCAGATGCTGAAGAGTGCTTTTGACTGTTATGCTAGACCTGTTAGAGGTCTAGGTATAGAAAAGCTTGTGGGAGGCAAATGGAGCAGAAAATAAGAACTGGAAGGAAGCTGCACCAAAACCAGTTTATAGCTAGAGAAACTGGGTTTTACATCCCAGCCACCAACAATGAGCCTTTGGAGATGTCTAAGGCATCAGCTTCTGGTCACAGTCCCAGTAGTTGATGAAGACTGATCATTACATTATCTGTTTATTATCTTGACCTATATCTCAGCCTGTGCAATTGAAACTTGTATCCAGATGTCACAGCTAACAGCTTACTGCATTTTTCAAGTGAAATTCCTTTTTTTGGAGTGTTTCCACCCCTCCCTGATTGTGAATTTTGGAGTTGCTTTAGTGTGCATCATGGTGACCACAACAATGTAATTCGCTGCTGTAGTTATGCTGCACTCTATCCAATTAAGGTGGTGTCATATCTAATTTATGCACTTCATTCAGAAATCAAGGAATGGGCATCTTAGCAATTACTAAATGCAATTAAGAACCCAATGTGGAAACACCTTACCCACCATGGTCATATGTATGAATGTGGTAAGACAAGGCAAAAGACCCAAAACTTTTTGTTTGTTTTGTTTTCTGCATTGTTTATAGAATATGTTGTCCTGTTCACCTAGATTGATTATTCTTGTCAAGAAGTTGC